TTAACACACAGTCAGACTCCATTCGCGTAAAAGTGTGAGTTCTATCCTACGTGCGGCGCCAATGGGTACGGCATTTGTGCCCGGTGTTCTAATCTGAAACAGCATATACTTTGTGCACTCTGGTCTTCAATTGGGTATATTTTAGAAGAAGCCACTTTATCATTATAAGTTAACTCTGGTCAAGATCGAATACTTTAAGCCCTTCTCAAATTATGTTTACGTACGCCAACCACTCGTCACGCGCTCCAGGGTAAGGTCCGAAATATACTGGGTCATGTGCTAAAAATCGTCGCAAAATCGCAAAGTCTTGTCTGTCTGAAATAGCGTAAAGGTTTCACCAGGCTCGCCACAACTCACCCAGGGTCTTTTCGCTGTTCTGGCAAATGTATGGAAAGTTATAAACGCGACTGGACGCTTTCTAGCGCAGTTTCGTGCTTTAGATTTGGCCAATGCGATATTTGTCAACTAGAATCTTAACTTTGCTATTCATAAAGCATGACCTCAGTTCTGAGTAGCAGGCAAACTGAGGCTCTTGCCTCAGTCATTTTGGTTTGTTTTGTTTTTGTCTCTTACAGTCATTATAAATACCCTAAATACCTAGTAATATTTTCTCATGGACATTGCCTCAGTCATAATTTTTTTTTCCAGCTATTGCGCTGTAATTTTTTCGGAATGCGATGTATAAGAAAATTATTCTAACTTGGCTCCGAGTCTTGCAGGACAAAATTGTTATTTTGTAAAGCTTCTTATGTCCCTCAATTCCCCAAAGAGACTTGGACACAAATAAAACACTACCAAGTATAGGAGTTTGTCCTGAAAGCCTCGGGATTAATATATCAGACATGGCTTATTAGTCTCTAAAGGGGAGAAAAACATTTCTAGCTTAATCGGTCTCTTGTTTTATAACTCGCAATGACAAAATAGCGATTGAAACATAATGCAAAATACGATCGTGGATGTTTGTCACGAGAATTTGTCACGAACAGTTGCCAGTCATCGTTCGCATACGAAAAAAAAAAGCGTCGCTTTTCTTTTTTCTACTGACAATTGAAAGAAATATAAGATATAGGCTGTGGGGAAATGAATAGCTCCTCTTTAAAGCTTAACAGCGAAAAACACAGTCTTAATCAGCAATGATGAATACAGGTAGCTGCTCTTAATTTAGAGATTCCGAGAAACCTGAATATTAAGTGTATCGGCTAATAACGATCAGTGAAATACATATTCACCTAGCCGAACGTGCGAGAGTTCACTGCAACTCTCTGTTCATTCATCTAATAATAAGGTAACGAGGAAAGCCAGAGAAACTCACGTTCTACCGCAAAACAACAGCAAATTGAAATTCAAAATTTCTAACAGACCGCTAAAGATGTGTCTCTAAATGTTCGTTTGTTTGCATCTTGACTGCATTTTACATCGAAATAAATGATCTGAACTAATCAAGGGAATTAGCATGCTACAGTTGTATTATTTCTCATACTTAAATACTATAAAGCCATAAAATGTACGAAAGCAGTTATACTTCATTCTCACAAATGTAATTCTCAACAGTTTGAGGACCAAGGTCTCTAAAGAATTCCAAGAAACCGTCAGACTTCATATACACTGCAGACCTCCGTTAACGTTGAACGGTTGCTCGAATCTCAATTCTTAAACCATTCATGATCAC